TTTTTTTTTCTCTGTCATGAAGGCATCTTAACAACCTTCAATTTAACCTTTTAAAGCCTTTTGCAATGTACTTAGACATTTTACAACTTTTTACTTTACCACACGAAGATTATCTCATCTCCCTCTTTTTGGTTTAATAAGTACATTTTAATAGTTTGATGAGTAAAGCAATCTTTTTTCTGCCATGAAGGTATCTCAACCACCTTCATTTTAACCTTTTAAAACCTTTTAATTATCATCTATACTGTACTTTTTCACCACCTACAGCTTCACTCTTTTAAACGAGGCTTAGATTCTGTATAAATCGCTTTAATGTTAGTTTACATGGCTGCCCTTCAACCAAAGGCTCCTTATCTCCTCTATACCTTCTTCCTTCTCTACTTCCTTAATCCCCACCACCACCACCACCACCCTTGCTGTGGATGGAACCCAGGGTTTCCTGCATGCTAGGCAAGTGCTCCACCACTGAGCTACATCCCCAGCCCCTACCTTCTTTCATCCTTAGTGAGAGATTAAGGTTGGGAAGAGGAGGGAGAAAACATGTTAGCTACAATTAGCTTTCACTTCAGTACACAATACAAGTGGAAAGATCCCAAATCAAGAACCAAGGTAAAGGTTATAACCATATCTGGCTCTGAATTATTACCTTTCTCCAAATCATTAAAGTACTTCAAGGGTATGTTTCTTATACTACCTGACTGGAAGGATAGAATGGTGTTTGGATACACTTTTCTTAGACTTTTTAAAGGTGATTTTAACCTAACCCCCAGCCAGAAGGCTGTGAGTTATATTTTTATCCACCTTAGATAATGGTGCTATCATTCAGTTATTGTCTACAATGTTACTTTCTTTGTTTTAGTGTGGAACCATCAGAGAATCTACAATCCCTGATGGAGAAGAATCAGTCCCTGACTGATGAGAATGAAAAATTAAGTCGTGGTTTGAGTGAGGCAGCTGGTCAGACAGCCCAAATGTTGGAGAGGATCATTTTGGTGAGCCCCAAAGACTAAAATAACAGTACTCTGGACATTCACTGTTTCAAAAAATATTTAACATGCTTCTCATTATGAGAGAAAAGTTATGTGGGAGGAAATGTATGTATATTTCCATATTCTGCCAGGATCCCCTGTGCCATGAGCTTTTAATTAAACATATAGAATAGTTAGACTTGAACAGTAAATACTTATGTATCCACCACAACGAATCTACATGAATCCCATTTTGAAAATACCAGAAAGAACTATGTCCCTTAGTTACCTTAAATTTTACCTAATCTTTATTCATAATACAGGTTGAGCATACCTAATCTGACAATTTGAAATCCAAAATGCTCCCAAATCCAAAACTCTTTGAGCATTGGCATTACACCACAGTGGAAAATTCCACAGCTGACCTCATGTGACTAGTCACAGTCAGAATATATGTGTACTAATATTGTACATCTTATACACATGGCCTGTTACCTCCAGGCCATGTGTATAAGATGTATATGAAAGATAAATGAATTTTGTTTAACTTTGGTTCCCATTCCCAAGATATCTTATCATGTATGCAAATATTCCCAAATCCAACAAAAAAAAATTGAAATCTGAAATACTCCTGGTCCCAAATATTTTGGATAAGGGATATTCAACATGTACCAAGTTACTTTTCCTTCCCTAAGACTTTCATTCTTCTCTATTTCTGTTCCCCTAATATTGTCACATTTCAAATTCCATCCTAAATAGCTGTCATGGTAAAATATAGTAGTCGATCACTATGTGAATGATTACACCAATTGTGATCCTACTACTGGTGATGGTAACCTTCTAGATCAGTTAGTGGCTGTGTCACTAACATTTTTCTACTAGTTCAAGTAAAACTCAGACTTTGATTGCACAACTATTGTCAGAAGTGAAATTGAATTTTCATCAAAATGTAATCGAACCTGGCCCATATGCCTTCATGCATCCATTGTGTCAAGGAAAAGTAAGCTACCTAAAGTTTTCTTTAAAAGAGGCGAAATCCTATGTTTAGTTGTACTGTCCATTACTAACAGAAAGGTGAAAGTGGAATCTAAGAGATTTTTTAATATATAATATTATTTCTCCAGTGCCACATTTTATGCTTTTGCAGAAACTCTAGAAGCCGTGTTTTACATGTGTGTGAGTGTGGCTGACGAAACAGACAGAACTTGATTCTAGCCACATAACCATCTGACCTTTATAAGGTTGTTACAATGGCTGCCTGGTAGGCTTATTGTTTAATATTCACAACAAGCACAACATTTTTGTCCTATATAAACTGTCCTTCCCAAATCTGTTGCAGCTTCTAGCATGTGACAGATTCTGTGATTGAAATAAAACTGAAAACATCAATCATCCTACCCCAAACATAGCTGCCTTCTGCTCTTTCTTTTTTCACTAACAGCATTCTTGTGCCTTACCCTTTCTCTTGCTTTCTCTGCTAAAACTAACGTACCATATCAGATAGTGTAACTTTTAAAAAATACAAGCTCAGATTTAGTGTGAGGCCCTTTTATGTTTTAAATGCCCTGGTGCTGAGGAGGTGCAGTGTAGGAGGCAGTTTAAAGTGATTTTTTTTTTTTTTTACAAACAGTAGGGATTAAGATGCCAGGAAGTGTTGCTTTTTCCTCCAGTTGCAAAGTTCTCTATGGAATTAAGGCTTCACACTCCACCCCATAGTCTGAGCCTCATGGCAAGCATAAAACCCAGCTGCTTGAATGGTATTTTTAGTAGCTTATTTTGACTTTAGGGCTAATTTCCCAGGACTCCGTTAAAAAATTCACTTCTCAATAAATAACCAAAGGCCACTAAATCCTCTAGACAGAAAGGAGACAGCCTTTCTACCTAGGTTTTCATCCACAGGAATAGGAGAAAGAGCATAATTAGGTGAAGCTGTCAGACACTGCCACTGATCATCTCTTGGGTCTTTGTTGCAGACAGAGCAAGCAAATGAAAAAATGAATGCCAAACTAGAGGAGCTCAGGCAACATGCAGCGTAAGTTTCCTACCAGATATTTGTTAGTGGCCTATCCCAACTTCCTGTCTAATCATGAATCTTCTGGCCTTCACAGTATAATTAACCCTTGGGTTCTCTTGCTTAAATTTTCAGCTGCAAACTGGATCTTCAAAAGCTAGTGGAGACTTTGGAAGACCAGGAATTAAAAGAAAATGTAGAGATAATTCGTAATCTCCAACAAGTGATTACCCAGCTATCGGTAAGCCAAGTAACAGTAAATAAGCATATCACTTTCTTTTGTTTCTCTTGAGGCATATGAGTATTTCTAATTCTCTGGCCTTTTGCTGAAACAACTAGCTTATGAGCAGCTGGAGGACAGAGATCATAGATCATGTAATATGATCTGAATGTTGAGTTGGTTAAAGTATAACACTCATAGGTCACTTAGTAATGGCACATTAATATTTTCATAATCTAATCAAATTCTACAAGCAACAACAGTGTGTGCAAAATTGTCTAGGTAGCAAGAATAGCAGTCATAGCTCTCTCTTATAACCAATAATAAATTTAAATGATCATTCTGCCATAAATTCCCTTTTTATTCAATTTTAGAGCTGCTATAATAGTTGTGTGGGGGGATTATTTCTTGTTTTCTCCAAAAGAAAATTTTTTACAATCCCACCACCTTAATTTTTTTTTGGTACTTAGGATTGAACCCAGGGGTACTTTACCATGGAGCTACATTCCCAGTCCTTTTTATTTTTATTTTTTGTTTGGAGGTAGGGTCACACTAAGTTGCTTAGGGCATTACTAAGTTGCTGAGGCTGACCTCTAATTTGAGATCTTCCTGTCTCAGCCTTCCATGTCACTGTGATGATGGGAATACACCACTACACCCAGATCGGTATATTTATTTTTAAATTAAAATCATACCATATTATACTATGTTTACAGGTTATGATTAGATTTATTCCATCTACCTTCTCCTATTTGTTATTCTCAAGTATATGTAAATGCTTGTTAGTAATTCTGGGTCTTCTTGGGAATAGGTTTGTATTTTACTGAATAGTTGTCTTTCAATCTTAGTCTTGCCCAGCATTGTCTCAGAATTGTCAATGGAGTATCACAAAATCACCCACACATAGACTTAAAGAATAAATGAAGCAAGGAATGGTGATGCACTCCTATAATTCCAGCAACTTGGGAGGCTGAGGCAGGAGGATCACAAGTTCAAGGCCAGCCTCAGCAACTTAGTGAGACCCTGCCTCAAAGTAAAAATAAAGAGGCCTGGGGATGTATCTCAGTGGTGGAGAACCCCTAGGTACAATTTCCAGCACACACACTCCCAAATGGCAAATATTTTTTTTTAAATATCATATAATATGGTCAAGGGAAAAGATTATGTTGACAAATTCTAAGAAATTGAAAACTTAAAATTAAACTCCCCCAAAACTATTTGGCAGTGTTTTAGAATAAGTAGTGCTGTGTAAAACTGTCACGATCAATCCAAAATGACAGTTCATTTATCCAACAAACAGAGAAGGGTAATTGAGTACTTGGACTCCCGAGCCAGAAACACTCTGGTTTGAAGCCAATTCTGCCACTTACTAGCTATGTAACCTTGCTAAATGATGTTTACTGTCAAAAGGAAATAATTTTAAGTGACTCAAATTGGAGTTAAAGTCATTATTCAGCTGATAAACTCAGGGAGCACCTGGATTCCAAATAACTCTCCATGTTAAGGCAGATTAGAGTTTTATAGGGTGAAAAGAAGAAAGGAGGGGTGTGTTCTTGTGGTTTGGCTCATGTGGCAGTTTTTGTTGTTAATTGCTGTGAAACTTTTGGTTAGAGGTTGTTCCAGTTTTCATTCTTCTTCTTCCAGAACATATTGGTGCAATCCCATTCTGATAGCTATCATGTTATTTTTAAGAGTTGTTTTTGCAAGCCTTGTAGTTTGTAAGTTGGTTAAAGTTTACAGATGGGAATAATGACAGAAAAAAGGGGTGAGGTGGTGATGGTTGAAGACAAGGAAAACTGGGAACCCTCTCTCCTATCTGTTTTAATCCCTTTACATTAGCAGTATGAGCAAAATGTAGTGAGAGCACCAAGGAAGGAGTGATTAACTTAGTCTAGAAAATTCAGAAAGATATCACAGAAGAAATGGTTCCAAAAAATGAATAGGAGCTTGCCATGCAATCAAAGAAGAAAGGATAATCTATACAGAGGAAAAGGTATATGCAAAAGCAAAGAAGTGTGAAAGTTTAGAAAATGTTAACAACTTCAATGTAACTGAAGGATAGATTGCATGCTAGAAAATGGCTATCATAAAGATAAATGTCACCAACTACAATTCCTTTTTATTTTGCAGTGCTTGGATTAAACTCAGGGCCTTGTACATGCTAGGCAAGTGTTCTACTTCTGAGCTATACCCCCAAACATATAATTCTTCCTAAGTATTGCAGAAACTTCTGATATATGAAAACCTTGTGTGAGCTACCTTAGAATTCAGATAATCTAGGGTATAGAAGCCTACTGTAGCCTAAATTTAGAAGCTCAGAAAACAATGACCTAGCGTATTATTGTTCACAGCCACCATACCAGTCTCAGGATTTCACACTACCTCATTTCCAAGGTTATGAATTGCATGGAAAAGATGAAGGAAACCTGTGGAATCAAATTAATAAAAGAAGACAAAGCATCCTCACTGAGGATCTGGCAATATAACTGATGCCTGGTGTGTCTGTAGGGGAAGTTGTTAGTGGTGGCTGGCTCAGAGGAACTTTATAGAATTGCTGTCTGCCACTAAAATGCACTTGGCACATGCAGTAGGAGGGTCCTAAAGATTGCCACAAGCTGATAAAGTTCCTGGCTTCTATCCCCTGTCACAGTTAGGCAGAGTAAACCCTTTTATCCTAGGCTCCTGCTGGACTCTTGAATAAGAGTTCTCCAAGTCTATTGTTGAGAGACCCTCCCAGCTACATATTTTTTTGGAAATACACAACAGTGTATCCTGTGGCTTTTATTAAGACTCACTACAGTGAAAGCAAAATGTTTCAAATGTAAGTGCTTGTGCCCTTCATTCTGGATTAAAACTATTTTTATTTTAAGTGGTGGGTGAACACCCCCTTTTCAAGTTATGAAGGCAGCCATTGTTCCTGCATATTCCTCCTGGGGCTTGAAGCACAAAACTGTACCATTTCTTTCCTTAAGATATAATTCAAGCAAACCTCCTTGTTGCAGTTACCTGTAAGAAATTCATACAATCCTTTCAGTTCCTAAAGGATCAAATTTTTTTTATATTTTGTTTATACCCCTCCTCCAAGATCGGTTCCATAAATAGCATTTTGCATGCGCAGCAATGGTATTACTCACAGCCTATAAGCATGAGCTTCATTTTTGAAAGTTTTGCTGATTAATGTAGCGAGATATACCCTAACCTCAATCCCCTGATCATCTCCTTTAGAAAATTATACCTTTTATTTATAAGAGATTTTTTAAGTTGAAACCTTACAATGAGGAGAGTGGGAGAGAAAAGAGCCCTTAGATTGAAATAAATCTGATTGTTAAATATTTACTTTTAGGATTGTAAAAGTAGAATCTTTCCATGTTCATGCAAAACATGTTACCATAGCCCTAAGGGGTGGTTTTTTTTTTTTTTGTGTGTGTGTGTGTGTGTGTGTGTGTTTGTATATATATATATATATATATATGTGTGTGTGTGTGTGTGTGTGTGTGTTTGAACTCAGGATTTTGTACATGCTAGGCAAGTGCTCTGCTAATGAGCTACACCCCCAGTCCTAGCCCTGGGCTGAAACCTTAATACTGTGAAATTTCAGTGGGCCAAAAGCCAAAGGTATACCCACTGTAGCAACACATCGTTTTTAAATATTAATCCATCTACTTTAATCCTAACCCTCTAGAAGGTACTAGAAGAAGTTTCCAAAAGCCACAATTGTAAGTTTTCCTAATCTAGAATAGGCTTATAACTAACTAGTCCTTATACTGAAAATTGAAACATGCAAGGGAGGAAAGGGGTAACCATTAACTAACAAATCCATGTGCTGCTTTTATAAGAAGGATTCGGTGTGCCTTATACTTAGAGAACTTCAGGTAAGATAAATCATTATGAGAAACAATGTGAAACACTGAAAATTCTTCTGAATTCTCTTCGAGCCTCATTGGGGGATTTCAGAGCAGAATAAAGAAAGTGTTAAAAACAGCACTTATTTAGGGCCTCTTCATTCCTTGCCTGAAAGGGACTGAGATTCAAGTTTTAATACTATGTAATATTTCACAGGGCTGGTATAGTGACTTCATGTGCTAACCCTAAATTCTTTGCTCTTAAACCAATAGCTCTTTCACCTATGACCTCCTTAATCATGTGACTTCCTGGCAATAATACTTTCCTTGCACAGCTTTCTAAAATCACTTAAACAAACAGTAATTCATATATTACAAATAAGGCCTAAATTCCAGTGGTGAGAACAGAGCTTGCTCATATGATAGTTTATAAACAAATTACTCCTAATAAATGGTTTTAGGTTTCTCTACTGGGTATTTATTTTTCTAATGCCCCCCAAAAGAATTTTTCATTCTCCTAGGAGAGAACTAGTGTTTTCCCTTACCTCCTCCTAACTATCCAAGTAACTACCTAGAGTAGCTTCATATGATCAGTTTTTTGTTTGTTTTGGTACTGGGTATTGAACCCAGGGGTGTGTTACCACTAAGCTACATCCCAAGCCCTTTTTATTTTGACACAAGTTCTCACTAAGTTACTTAGGGCTTCACTAAGTTATTGAGGCTGGCCTTGAACTTTCAATCTTCCTGCCTCGGCCTCCTGAGTTGCTGGAATTACAGGCATGTATCACCTCACCTAGCATATGACTAGTTTTTACATATATGAGTGACAGAACTATATTACATTTGTCTGACTTCATGGACACATTTTTCTGGGGTACCCATGCAGATTACATATTTTCTTACAGAGTAAGATCTTGCTATCTTGAGTAACTATAAAATAAAAATCAAAATAACCATTCTGTCCACATGTCTCATGCATTGCCCTTATTTTACATGTCTTAAGTTGATATGCCCATGAGAAGTAGCTAGACTTGTACATTAATAGAGGTAGACTTAGTGGTAGAAACACAAAAAGAAAGGGGAGAGTCTATTAAATGGGTTAAATTTTGGCTGAAATGGCTGTGTGTTTAATTCTCACTCAGTGATCTCTGGCAGAGCAGGAGAAGTGCAATAAATATGTCAGTTGCCACATGACCTTATTTTTTTTCTTACAAAAACTTACACAATTGCCCTTTATGAAGAAGAAAAACTCTTGAGAAGTGGGAAATGGAAACGTGTGGCTGTTAGGATTTCTGTGACTCCAAAATGGGTCCAGCACCTTAAATGGTCTCTGTGTGTACTTGAAAAAATTAAATAACCAATATAAAATCCACTAGTGAACTTCATTTCAGAATCTTTTTCTAAATCGAAACATTTGTCACTGTAGGATGAAACTGTTGCTTGCATGACTGCAGCCATTGATACTGCTGTGGAACCAGAAACTGTAAGTAATTGGCCCCTTTGTGTGGAACCAGGAGCTCTCACTGTGCCATTTCCTATAATTTATCACTTGACTGAAGAAGAGAATCCATGATTACTACCATTTGCCTTAGAATGCCCTGGAAAATCAGAAATCTTCAGTGTAAATCTCAGTTTCATAAAATCCCTAATATAGATAGGCTCTATCTCTAATAATATACCTGGTAATGGGTAGCAAGTCTTCTCAGTGATATCACATTCCAAATTTGCAATGTGGCTTACTTATTTCTTGTTGGATGCTAGTATTCTGTTTCAACTGTTCAGCAAATTAAAATGAGGAGAGGAACATATTGGGAAATTATGGCAAAGTCAAAAAAAACATTAGAGGAGAAATAGGAGAGAATTTTTTTCAGCATACTTTTCAAAGGATGGAATGGTTAGGGGCTAAAAGAAACAAGGAAAATATTTTGAGTGTTTAGATCTCAAGGATAGATAAAATGTATTATATGTTCCAGAATAAAGTAAAAATGAAAGGCCAGGCAAAGGTTTGGTTGAGACAGGCTTTTATGCCTCAAATGAATATATACATATTGGTAGTTTTCATATTCTGAAACAATGAAGATAAGGAATAAATGGGGTACTAATAGTCAGCTGTGTGAGAATAAATGAATCCTCTTCTCAATTTCCACCATTCCCACAGTGCCTTTTCTCTTCTAAAGGACCCCTTTGAATGAGATTAAAAGTGGGGAATGCTGGCCAGATCAATAAAGGAAAGAGCAAGAAAACGGCTGGCCTTTAAAAAGCTAAAATATATAAAAGGGTATTTAAGTGAGCAGGGAAATAGACTAGCTTAATTTATTTCAGATATTTAAAGCAAATCTTACGTGAAATACCATAGCAGTGAAGGAATAGAGATAATGCTAATAGTGAAAGGGCTATGAGACTTGATGAAATAGTACCTAAGGAACTCCAATTTCTGGTTTCTCTTACAAACCATTGTCTACACCATCCTGATTATTATCTTTTCCAGCAAGTTGAAACCAGTCCAGAAACCAGCAGGTCTTCAGATGCTTTCACCACTCAACATGCTCTACGTCAAGCTCAGATGTCGAAGGAGCTGATTGAGTTGAATAAAGCCCTTGCACTGAAAGAGGCCCTAGCTAAGAAGATGACTCAGAATGACAGCCAATTACAGCCCATTCAGTTCCAGTACCAGGTAAACTATTTTCTAGAGCAGAGTTTGTTCATGTCTGCTATCTTTAATTGAATGGGGGAAAAACAAGCATACCATTTTTGGTGGTAAACAAACAACAGGACATACATGATACAGCTGGAATTGTATGTTTATAAAAGGGATATATTCAGGATATGGGACCTATAATTTCATTCCATTTTTTTCTAATATCTTACCTTACATCACAGGAATTTAATAAATTATTTGATAATATTCTAGTAGATGTGGTTCCTATTCATGGAGAAATTAGATTCTAATAATTTTGCTTGATTTCTGAGAAAGGCTCATCTCAGTAGACGGTCTGGGTTATAGTATGAATTACAAAAAGACTAGTAGTGGATATCATATTATTTGGAAAATGGCTAAACTTTTTCCTAGTGGTGGTTCATGATGACCCTTGCTAATAATAATAATCAGGTCTTTATCTGTCTTGTTTGCTTTCCCTGTGCCTACTTCCTAGCCATCAACCTTGGACTATCATCCTGGGTATTTTCTTCACACCTCATTTTTATTGAAACAAATTCCATGTCTTTCTCCATCTTAGGATACCTCTTTATAAAACCCCAATAGGTTTCTGAAATGAAATGGTTTTAAAATTTTGCACATCTAAAATAGTTATTTTTTAAATTCTTACACTTGTTAATTTGGCTAGATTTTAAGGCCTTGCTTTGTCTTCTATTTCCATTGTTGCTGTTGAGAAGTTCATTATGTATTTCCATTGTTGCTGTTGAGAAATCCATTATGATTCTTGATTCTTTGTATTTGACCTATATTTCTTTCCTTCTGGAAATTTTCTGGATCTTTTCTTTATCCTCTAGTGTTACTTAATTTCACAAGGATGTACCTTGATATGAGTCTGTTCTCATTGATTGTGCTTGGTGCTTAATGGATCCTTTCAATCTAAAAATGTGTTTCTCTATTCTGGGAAGTTTTCTTGTATCATTTCTCTACATTTTCTCTTTCTTACATTCCTCTTAATCTAGTATTTGATGTCTTAGATTTTATTTCTGCTTTTCTTACCTCCGCCCTTCTATTTTCCATTTCTTTGTCTTGTTATTTCCCTCTCTGGGAGATTTCTTTCTACTCCTTCTGGTAAGTTCTTTTATTTGCCTAGTAATTTCCAAGATTTTTTGATCATCTATTTGTTCATTTTGTAGTTTTTTATTCTTTTTCATGAATGCACTTCCCATTTCTAAGGAAAGCAATTAAAGTTTATCAAGATTTTCTTCTCCCTGCCTTACCTGGTTTCTCCATATTTCCTTTAAATGTGCTTCTTTTAGTCTCACTTACGTTTAAGAAACTTTTCTAGGGCTGGGATTGTGGTTCAGTGGCACAGCGCTTGCCTCGCACATATGAGGCACTGGATTCAATCCTCGGCACCATATAAAAATTTTTCAAAAAATAGAATAAAGGTATTGTGTCCATCTACAACTAAAAAAGTAATTTTTAAAAAAGAAGGTTTCCTCCAATTTCTAGTAATCTTTAGTTGTATATTCAGATTTAGGAGTGGGGCACTAAAAACCAATAGGAAGTTCTATATGCATGAGTTTCTCTGGGGCTAGTTAGTTTCCATAAAGAAATCTTTCATTCTCCTGCCTGAAGTTGTGTAGGCAGAATGGTAGTGTGCCACCATTCTGGTAACCCGGAGGAAATAAGGATTTGGAGTTATTCCAGGCATATGCATATTTGTATTGAATCACTATCAGCAGTATAGTACTTCATGTCTGCTTTTAGCTCTGTCCAGTGTCTGTGAATCTATCCTATGAGGTTCAGGTACTCCGGAAAGGGAGCCTCTACTCCTCTTTCTTGTTCTGTGATACAAATTGGCTTGTTGCTTCTTGGCATTTATTCTCTAAGAATTATATTTCAGCATTTTCCATTTTGGAAGTCAGTTACTACTTACCCAGCTGTTTTCCTTAAAGTCTTTTTGGTATCTCTCAACTGCCTTCCTCTTTTCTTTTTATTCTTGTTGATTTAAGCAGCTTTGGGGGGTCATTTTTTAGTGGGATTATAAGAAGGAGTAAGTTAAATATGTAGCTTAGGCATCTGTGTTAACAAGACATGCAGTGTAGACTTTTTAGGTCAAATGTATTTTGGCATTTCCAGAATAAACAAAAGATTAGTAGTAAAACTGAGAAATTATTCCTTCCTTCTTATACTCTTGCTTAGAAACATGGGATATGAGTTCCAGTGTATTTATAATTAGATAAGGAGGTATTGATAATGAGCTATATAGTAGCTATAGTAAATATCTAGGCCCTTTTTTGCTTAAAATTAAATATGCTTAAGCTTCCAAATCTAAAAACTAAGAAGATACACACTCTTAGGTAACTAGTACCTTTTACTCACATACAAATCATCACCTCTCTTTTTCTAAGAAATATAAAGACAGGTTTTCTTTCCAAACAGTATTTTTCTTATCACAGCAAGGAATTGCTATAGAAAAATAGGGGGAGGATTCGGTTCTAATCATTAAAGTTTATTGCCATGAGTTGTTGTAAATCAAGACTCAAATATTTGAATAATCCCCCACTTGGAGTTGGTGAGATAGTTACTCACTAAATATGGACAAGGTGCTGCTTTTTACCTACCATATTGGTAATAATTTTGAAGTGTTATAATATCACATGTTGACAAGGGTGTGATATGGCAAGAGTAGAAATCAAAATAGCTACTTTGTTGGCTGGCACTGTGGCTGAGCGGTAGAACGCTCAACTCACACATGTGAGGCACTGGGTTCGATCTTCAGCACCACATAAAAATAAATAAATAAATTTCCAACTACAACTAAGAAAAATATTTTATAAAAATAGCCATTTTGTGTGACAGGTTAGTAGTAACTGTTAAAATTATAAATGTGTACACTTACCCTATAATTCAACTTCTCTCTATGCTAGTAAAATCTAGCACATGTACCCAAAAGACACATATAAGAATGCTTTCATCACATCAGAAAAAAAGCAGAGCAAATCTGTATGGGTATACATAAATCTCAAAATAATAAAGTAAAAAATGCAAGTTACAGAATAATATACGTTACACGTATAGTGTGACTTTTTTTTTTTTTTTTGCAGTACTGGGGATTGAACCTAGGGCCCTATACATGCTAGGCAAGCACTCTGTCTCTGAGTAACACTCACAGCCCCTAAAGTGTAATTCTATTTATGCTTAACACATATTTGAATTTGATGTGCACAGATACACATATGCATATGTATGTGTACATACTATATATTTTTTAAATTTTATATTCTAGACATTTACATATATAAGACATATACATACCATGATATATAATATGTAATCTATAATATTTTATAAAATATATATAATGCATTTATTTTATATATGTGAAGGTTTAGAGATATAATATACACATATATTAAGAAGAATTTCTTGAAGATATACACCAAGCTAATAACAGTGGTTACTTCTGGAGAGGGGATGGAATTTTGGCAGAGAGTGAGACAGTCAAGGGGATTTGACCTTTACACGTATTATCTGGATTAGTTTTCACAAGGTACTTCTATAAGTAAAAATAAATATATAAATCTATTTATTATTTTTATTTATTTATTTTATTGTTATTGACCAGTTTAAATATTCAGGGTAACTATAAAGCAATAAGATTAATTTTCATTAGTTATCCTGAAGTGGCTCAGGACATTGTGTGGAAAATAGCCCTAGCCTATGTACAAAGTTTTCTCTGATACAGCCCTGTCTAACCTGCTTCTGCTTCTTTGTGTCAATGCAATAGTGGTCTGAGGACTTTATATAATCTTCTCAGCTGCCAACCATTTATTCAGCCAGTTGCCTTTCACTTTTAGTTTTGAGAACAGGAGGGAATCTGGTCATTGAGTTTTTCCATTCTTGGAAAATTGCCAAACTTCAATTTCTAGAATTTGCTGCCTAAATACATGTAGAACTGCAGTTGCTATTGAATATATAAGTTTGCAAAACTTATGATATATTTATACAGCTCTTTATAGTTTATAAAATGTCACTACCTTTTTATCTTATTTAATCTTCTATCAATCTTATGAAGTAGGTGTTATTGGAGTTTGTTTATTTCTTTATTTTGTGAGACGTCTCAGTATATTGTCCAAGCTAGTCTCAAGCTCCTGGGCTCAAGCAATCTCCTGCCTTAGTCTCTTAAGTAGCTGGGACTACGGGTTCTCATCCCCGTGCCTGGCTCATGTTATTGTTAATTATTTACATAGATAGAGAAATTCTTTGGAATACCTAAGACCTCCTCTAGGTTCAGTGATTCACTGGGGGTGGACTCCTAAGACTCAGCAAGTAGTCATATTCACAGTTAAGATGTATTACAGTGAAAGGATACAAAGAAAAATGAGCAAAGACAATGGCCCCTGGGCACAGTCTGAGGGAAACTAGGCACAAGCTACCAAAAGTCCCCTCCCAGTGGAGTCACACAGGAAGCCCTGCATTCCTCCACTAATGGGTTGTAATCATGTGTGAAATGGTCTCTACCAGGGAAGCCCTGAACCTCAGAGTCTAAGACTTTTACCTCTGCTTTGTGTGTGCCAAAATTCTACACTTGGAAAAAGAAGGCAGGTGTTCAGGGTAAATCACATGGTTTGCATAGTTTAGGCATGGATGAGCCTCTGTTATCAGCTAGGAAATGGCAGGAACCCTACTAGAATGTTAGTTCCCAAACATATACCCAGAGAGAGAATTTTTTAATATTTATTTTTCAGTTTTTGGCGGACACAACATCTTTATTTTATTTTATGTGGTACTGAGGATCGAACCCAGTGCCCCACGCATGCCAGGCGAGCGCATTACCTCTTGAGCCACATCTCCAGCCCCAAGCTATCTTTTTTTAAGGATAGCAGTCTCAGGCCTGCTCTCTTAACTCTTTTCTGCACAGAAACTAAGGCTAAAAGTAGTGACTTTCCATAAGATACTTTAGATAATAAGTGTTGCTGGATTCCAAGCCCATACTTTGCCTACTATACAATTTTAATCTCCATTGAATTAAGAACAAATGTTTTTAGTGTATAAGTGAAGTGCTAAAATTTAATTCATAGTTCCTGGAAAGATGGAATGTTGAAATGATATTCTTCCTCTGCTATATAATGCCTTTCTTTCCCTCTGACTTATGACCTTTCTAGGATAACATAAAAAATCTGGAATTGGAAGTCATCAGTCTGCAAAAGGAAAAGGAAGAATTGGTTCTTGAACTTCAGACAGCAAAGAAGGATGTCAACCAAGCTAAGTAAGAATAAAATCAATAAATGTTAAGTCCCTACTATGTATGAGAAGCTTTAGAGGGAATAGAGAAGTAGGAGACATTTATTGCCACCAAAGTATTTAAACCTAGTGTGGGAAAGGGATATAAACACAAGAAAAGTAATTGAGATTTTACATAACATCTCATGATGACAATGAAAGAATGCCATAACATAGCATATAATTAGCCAGATTAATTTCTTAGGCAGTAATTGTGTTAAGAGTTCAGAAGCAGGATGAGAATTTAAGCTGGCATGATCAAGGAAGGATGCATAAAATGTTAATGTGTGAGCTGGCTTTTAAAAGATTATCAGACCTAGTGGATAGTAGCAATTTCTTTCCCCCTGCACTGATGGTAATTTAGCTTGTAAATAGAATTAATAACCAGGCTAGTGATTGGAAAAAATCAATCGAACCATCTCTTAATCAGTTAAGAATAAAACTAAGATAACCATAACCTCCTACTCTCCTTTCAACTCTTGCTTATTGGCTACTCTACCTTCATTTTACCCAGTGACTGTTTTATCTCTGTATGAATCTAAAGCTCATGTTCTTAAAAGTTATGCTGAATATTTACTTTCTGTCTCAGACTTGTGTAATAATTGTCAGAATAATTCCTTTCGGCCAACATGAAGCGAAATACCTTCACAGAACATCCTTTTGGCAGAAAGTTGTAGGATGGGATATATTGAAGCAGTTCATTTTTGCATACTCAAAAATTATGTTGTTTTACTATGGTATTAAACTCTTATTATTGAGACAGTTTGGGTTGTTTGGGTGGTATATTTTTATTTATTTATTTTTTGGTACCAGGGATTTCACTCAGCAGCACTCAACCACTGAGCCACATCCATAGCCCTATTTTATTTAGAGACAGGGTCTCACCGAGTTGCTTAGTGCCTTGGCATTGCTGAGGCTGACTTTGAACTCTCAATCCCCCTGCCTCAGCCTCCTGAGCCACTGGGATTATAGGTGTGTGCCACCATGCCCAGCTTGGTATTTGTTATTTTAAAGATGACTATTTACATATATCAGGGTTGTACACCTAGAAGTCTCATATCTTTTGGAGTCTGGCTTTGCTGTTGGTAGCTTTCATTCCTACTGTATCTGTGTTTAGGTTGAGTGAGCGTCGCCGCAAACGTCTCCAGGAGCTGGAGAATCAAATAGCTGATTTGAAGAAGAAACTAAATGAACAATCCAAACTTCTGAAACTGAAGGAATCCACAGAGCATACTGTCTCCAAACTGAACCAAGAGATACGGGTAATAAACTCTTATCCTTAAATTTACTGCATTGGAACATACATAGATGTTCCATTTCAAATTATACTACGGAGTGTTTTTACTTCAAGTGTGAAAATCTCCATAAATGTCCCTTTTATAGGCCATTGTGCTGGTTGTCATCTAGAATCTGAATAAAACCTTGCTTTGACATTTAATTTCTTTTCTTTTTTACATTCAAAGTTTAATGTTAGATTCTCTGAAACCAAAAGAAAAACATATCTCAATATTTAGTGATAATATCCTGATCATCTTCCATGATCATGTGTCATAATTTTGTAAGTAGTGGCAAGATGATAGATACCTGAAGAATATTTTCAGCTGTTGAATGTTTAACTTGTAGCATATGGAAAGTGGTGGTTAGAGGTCTCTTGCACAGATATCTTTGGAATATAGTGGTTGCTAGGTAGTTTTGTCCTTGAAGCTTAATAAACATTTCCTTGAACTTTTCATTTCTACAGTGAATTCAGGGCTAGTTTTAGCTTATAGGTATATTTTTCTTTTATTTCTTCAGAGTATTCATTTGTATAGTCTATACTTGGAAACCCTGTGCAAACATAGCAAGAGGGGTATTGCAAGCCTAAAAGAAAATCTGTTGGTGGCCTTCTTAGCTTAGCTCTGGGCTTTCTTTCTTATTAATGATAATTATATCCATCTGCATATCAGCCTAGAATAAAGTACATATGACTAATACTTGTACTGGTTTTTGTTTTTACAGATGATGAAAAACCAGCGAGTACAGTTAATGCGTCAGATGAAAGAGGATGCTGAGAAGTTTAGACAGTGGAAACAACAAAAAGACAAAGAAGTAATCCAGTTAAAAGAACGAGTAAGTAACTAAAACTCCTCAGAGGCCCAACTAATAAACCCCTGAAATTATCAGCTTTGTATTAAATGTCTCCTGTGTGAAACCTATCCACTCGAAATCATGGGTAATATATGAGCTTTGCCTTTGAAGAATGTCTTGTCTAAAGGGGAAGATAAAACATAAGTGAGGGTTTTTCATACAATGAATAAAGAAACCTGGGCTTTAAGAACCACAGTAATTAAGAGAAAGTAAAACACTCTTCCGACTGGGGTAAAAAAAAAAAAAAATTATGTCTGAATAGGTCCTGAACAACAGGGAGGATTTTGATAGAGATAAGTAGGAGGATTTCAGATAGATGGAACAGCAGGAACAAAGGCAGAGATGACAATTTTATAGATAAACATAATTTGGACTAGGATAGTAGTAGAGGATTCAGTTGGAAGGGTAAGCCAAAGTTGGATTGCTAAAGGTCCAAGAAGTTTGAACTTTATTTTGTTAGTAAGGTAAAGATGGGTAAGGTTTCTGAGGAACAAGGTGAACTCAGCAAAATATATATATAAAAAAAGATGTGCCTGGGAGTAATATAGAACAAAGTGAAGTATTGAGAAACTGGAAGTCTAGAACACAAGTTAAGAAAATCTTTTATGATCCAGAAATATTGCAAGGGCTTGAATTAGAGTACTAACAGTGGACAGCTCATTGGGGGGAAAAACATTGATTTAGGGAAAATTTTAGAATTGGCCATAATGTAATGTGTTAGGTCAAGAGAGAAGTGGAGAATCACTTTCAGAATGGCAGCTTAAGTAACCTCATGGACTCTTCCAGCAAAACAACCACAACTGGTGAAATTTATAAACAAGCATAAAAATTCTCTGGAAACTATCCTAAGGGCATACAGCAAATGAGGAAACATTTATTCAGGAAAATCTACTAAATCCCAGTGAGAACAACAAAAATTCATGGCATTTATGCTATGACCATTTCCCTTTCCTTAACCACCCAGCTCTCAACTTACAGCTATAGTCTCCTCCAAGTAAAAGCAAGTCTTCAGGATATTTCATCCTCCATAGCTCCATGTTACTAAAGTTCTATTTCAGGCAACAACAGCAAAGAGGTCTGGGGATCCCTTTTTTCACAAAGTACCTATATGTAGGATAGAAGCTTTACGCCTACTGCAGGGCAGGCATAACAAGGCCTGGCTACCCTAACCCATCTACTCATAGGATATTGAATTCAATACTGCCTCTGCTTAGAACCCTACTTGTAGAATCCCTCAGAAATGAGCTACTATTCCTATCCCTAAGTTCCAAACAACAGTATAGAAATTATACCTAGGGGAGAGGCAGGCCATAGAAATGTAGCCCTCCCTAAGGGGACTGACTTTATTGGGCACAGAATTTAGGGAAGTTCAAGTCAAAGGTGCTATCAAAAACAATAGAAATTTTGGTGGTGAGCAACTAAGGAAGCTTGTAGCTCCATGAGAACAATAAGTAAAACAATGGTAAAAATATTCAAAGAGTTTATGACTTCATTTCCTCTAGACACAATGTTTTCCCTCTGTGCTTCTTGATTCTTCTTTTCTGCCTCTTCTCCACTTTCTCTCCCTCTTTTACTTACTTCATCCACAATCTAGGAATTTGGATTACCTGGTTAATATCCCAAAGTACAGGTTCCTCTGATTCTTTAGGGTTTTTTTATTATTTTATTTATAGGTTGAAAACTTCCCCAAACTTGATTAAAACAAACAAACAAACAAACAAACATGAACCTATACATAAAAAAAAAAAAAACTTAATGAGGGCTGGGGTTGTGGCTCAGTGATAGAGTGCTTGCCTAGCATGTGTGAAGCACTGGGTTCAATTCTCAGAACCACATAAAAATAAAGGTATCGTGTCCATCTACAACTAAAAAATATGTTTTTTTTAAAAGCTTAATGAGCTCCAAGTAGGGTAAACCAAAAGAGATCCTTTCCCAGACATATCACAGCAAACTGTTTAAAGACAAAAGCAAAAAAAAAAAAAACCTTTAAAACAGCAAAAGAAAACAATTCATCACATATAAAGAATCCCCAATAAAATTAACAGCTGAAATCACATCAGAGATAATAGAGGCAAGAAGACAGTGTGCAACATACTCAAAGTGCTGAGGTAAAACTCTGTCACCTAGAATCTCATATACAGGAGAGTTATTTTTCAAAAATGAAGGCAAAAGATGGGAACAATGGGACATGACTCTTATCCCAGCAACTTGGAAGGCAGATGCAGGAGAATCTTGAGTTCTAGGCCAGCCTGGGTAACTTAGCAAGACCCTATCTCAAAAGAGGGACAAGGGATGTATATAGCTCAGTGGTATAATACTTGGCTAGTATTCACAAGCCCCTGGTTTCAATCCCTAGTGCTAGAAAATATATATAATTATGGCAAAATAAAACCATTACCCTATAAACAGAAGCAAAGAGAAATTATTCGTAGCAGAACTGCTTTACAGGAAAAACTAAAATAACTTCTTCAGGCTGAAAGCAAGTGATGCCAGATGCCAGATAGTAATTTGGATCTGAAAAGAAATGGGGGAGGAGGCAAAGAGTGCCAATAAAAATAATTATGTAGGTAATTCTAAAAGAGAATATAATTACATATTTTTTCTCCTTTCTTTTCCTAACTGAACTAAAGAGCAGTTGTGTAAAGCTACACACAAACAGTTATATTGATAAGCCTATAATATAAAGAAATGTAATATATTTGGCAATAAGAGCTCAAAGGAGGTATATGAGACCAAAGTTGTATTTAAGGAAATAATATCATCAAATACTGATGTGAATCCATAGGAAGAAATGAGGAGAATCAAGAAAGGTGAAAAAAGAAAGGTAAATAAAGTAAATGCATTCTGCTGTGAAATATAACAAATTAGAATAAATAAATTTTTTAAAAGAAAGGTGAATAAGAAAGTAGATATAACAAGCTCTAAATACATATATATACTCTCCTTTCTTCTCTCAGCTTATTTAAAAGATAAATTATTATAAATTAACAATTGTAATAATGTATGTGGAGTTACACATAGATATAATATGCATAACAATAATAGCACAAAAAGGAAGGGGAATAGAGTTACCTAGGAAAAAAGTTTCTGTATCTTATTGGATTTAAGTTAATATAAACCTGATATAGATTGTAAGAGGCATAAGAAGTAAAATGAAGAATCAATAAATGGGATTGTATCAAACTAAAAAGCTTCTTCACGGCAAGAAAACAATCAAGAACATGAAGAGACAGCCCACAGAATAGGAGAAAATCTTTGCCACCTGCACTTCAGCTGGAGCATTTAATCTCCAGGATACATAAAGAATTCAAAAATGTAACACCAAAAAAACAAATAATTCAATCAATAAATGGACTGAGGGACTGAACTCTTTTTCACAGAAGAAAAACCATTGGTCAACAAATATATGAAAAAATGTTCAACCCATCTCTAACAATTAGAGAAATGCAAGTTGAAACTACACTGAGATTTCATCTCAATGTAATCAGAATGGCAATTATCAAAAATACAAGCAACAGTAAATGTTGATGTGGGGGGGGAAACGTACAATCCTACATTGCTGGTAGACTGCAAATTGGTGCAACCACTATAGAAAGCAGTATAGAGATTGCTCAGAAAACTTGGAATGCATCTACTATTTGACCCAGTTATCCCACCCCTTGGTTTATACCCAAAGGATTGAAAATCAGCATTACAGTGACACAACAACATCAATGTTTATAGCAACTCAATTCACAATAGCTAAATTATGTAATCAACCTAGGTACCCGTCAGCAGATGAATGGATAAAGAAAATGTGATACACACACACACACACACACACACACACACACACACATGATGGAATATTACTCAGCCATTAAAAGAATGATATTATGGCATTTGCTGGTAAATGGATGGAACTGGAGAATATCATCCTAGGTGAAATAAGCCATTCCCTAAACCACATGCTAAATGTTTTCTTTGATATGCAAATGCTAATTTCACAATGAGTGGGGGTGAAACCTAGGAAAGAACAGAAGTACTTCTAATTAGAAAAAGAGGAATGAAGGGAAGGGAGGGGGAATGGGAATTGGAACAATAGTAGAATGAATTGGACATTACTATCCTGTGTATATGTGATTATACAACCAATGTAATTCTACATCAGGTACCACCAGAAGAATAAAAAGTTATACTCCATATATGTATGTCAAAATACATTCCACTCTCAGACTGGGGTTATGGCTCAGTGATAGAGTGCTCACCCAGCATGCACAGGGCACTGGGTTCAATCCTCAGCACCATATAAATGTAAAATAAGCATATTTGTGTCCACCTAAAACTAAGAAATAAATATTTTTAAAAATACATTCTACTCTCATGTATAACTAATTATATCAAATAAGAAGAATAAAAAAGATGTTTTCTGTAAGTACTAGATCAGTCAATAAGAACTCAAGATATAGTGAAATAATCATTAAGGAATTAGTATTAAACTAGAAAATATTCATTATTGCAAAAGAAAGCTGTAAAGGAAGAACAGAAGAACAAAAAGTATGAGGCATATAGAAAACAAAAAGCAAACATTAAAACAAAATCAATGATATCAGTAACACTAGGTATTCTGGTGGCATACTCTATATGGTCCATGTGGCCACTTCCTTCTTACCCCCATTGACACTATGGTAAAGAAGAAAGAATTCCCAAACAATTTTGCACCTTTAAAATGATTCTAATCTCAAATACTTGAAGGGAAGAATTTGAAAGAAATGGAAATGCCACCAAAGAGGATATAATTCAGATGATAATTGCTCCAGGCAATATGCAGCTCAAGGAGTTAGAGAAAACACTTGATCTAACAAATTATTTTTTGTTTGTTTGCTTTTGGTTTGAGGTGCTGGGGATGGATCCCAGGGCCTCTTGAATGATAGGCAAGCACTCTGCCACTGAGCCACATCCCAACTGCCACAAAGTCTTTAACTATAGCATTATTCTAAATG